AAAAGTGGATGCCGAATACCCATTGACTGTATACTAAGAAAATGCTCTAATTCCCATGTTTATTTACTGGACAATTGCATTCCGTTCTTCGACTAAAGAATCATGCTTATCAAGAGCTCTTCACTTTATTAGCTTTAATTCCTCATTTTTTGCAAAACAAGTGTTGTTAAATCACGGCATCGAAATGCGTCTTGGTAGAAACCCTTTTTTCACTGTTCTCAAGAAGCCATTTCATTTCTTTTGACATTTAAGCCGCCTATAAATTGGTTAATATACTTATTATTTCTACTTTTGATATCATTCGCTATTTCCTAGCCTTTCCATGCCTTCGTTTAGTGAAAAATCGCGGAAGCCATTTTTGGTCGAGCTCCTTCTCTCATTCGATGTGTTTCTGTATATTATTTGAGCACAGGTATCAGGACCTAAGGTAGCACTGATAGTCACTAAATGTAGAAACAAATTCGAAATTTCCTTTTTTAATTCCCAAAACCCCAAATAATGTATAACATATTTGAGTAATTAAATACAGTTGTATTTTTACTGCTTCTTCTTATCCGTATCGAATTATTTCCAGAAGTCAGTTAATCAAACCATTCTTAGAAGCGCCTTGGCATAATAAAATTACTGTGATCTGTAAAGCAGCTAAGCTGAAGAAAAGTGTGGATAGGTGGCAACGTCGCAAAAGCCTATGCAGTAGGAAGCTTTTTTCTCTGTTCAAGAATGTCTTCTCTTGCAACCTGGCATTTCTAAATTAGTACGCGTCGCTCTTATAATCATTTTTCGTTTATATCTTTGTAGCTACAAATACAAAGTGAAGGCTCTGTGATTCATATATATATATAGCAGTCAACGATAGTGGATAGTGAAGTAATTTTATCTGTCCGTTGTGGAGTTCTAGTTTGTTCTTGTGCTACATGACTGATTGTGAGTGATTTTATTGCATGTTTCCTTGCTATGAGGTTAAGTATTCTTTATAACGGGTAAGTTTTTAAATTAAAGATCTTACAACGTTTACATTTAAGTCTGAAAACTTGTCTCCTTACACTATTGGAATGTATTTTGTATCAGGTGCACAACTTTGCTTCCGCCGTTTTTTTCCAAAATTAAAAGCTTTATTGCGAAAAAGTGCTTACATATATATTACTCAAAGTATTGTCCTTCGCTAGCGAAAACTTTCTCCCATCTTTCCGGCAATTCGGATTCCGGCTCGAAAAAAGGAGTCTTCTTTTGACGCTATCCGTGAAGCAATCCATTTTTCCAATTCTTCGAAAGATTGAAAATGTTGATCTGCCAAGAAGTGTGCCATCGAACGGAATAGGCGGGTGGGGTAAGACATCCCACTTAAGCATTTCCAGGTACTTTTTGACCACTTTTGCGAAGTGAGGCCGAGCATTGTCGTGTTAGAGGATGACTTTGTCATGTCGCTCTTGATATTGTGGCCGCTTTTCTTTTAGCGCGCGACTAAGGCGCATTAGTTGCGTTCGGTAGCGATCTTATGTGATGGTTTCACTCGGTTTTGAGAGCTCGTAGTAAATCTTTGAAGGTTTTTTATCTTCCACCACCATGTTTGTCTTCGACATCGAAATCACAATTTTTAAAACGTTGAGACCACTCCCGACACGTTCTTTCACTCAGAGCAGCATCACCGTCAATTTAGAGAGCATTCGGTGCGCTTCAGCTGCACTTTTTTTCTAATTGTAACAGAAAAGTAAAACTTCCCGAAACTGAAACTATTCAGTTATTTATATATATACAAGTTTCAATATGAACTAAATGCCATTACTGAACCACCAACTTATAAAAATGTTTATTTATATATTTAAATTCTAGCGAAAGAAATTTTTACTAAAAATTGTGTGAGCTTTTCTAGGGTTAAGGAAATATAAAACTTTTCCACTTGTAAATCAAAGGGAGGAGTGCTTAAGACCTCCCAAGTACTGAGTGCCCATTAGTTCTTCCCAACGAGGTCCATTACCTAAGTAAAAGTCGATGATTCACAATTTATATACAGTTAGACAACGGCTAAAGTTGTGAGTATAACAAATTGCTGAGTAATAGCAAATCGTTTGATTTCCCAAGTAAACCGTTGAGATGGTCATCAGCATAAGATAGATGCACAAAGGCTGGCATCCTACTTACCAAATTGAAGTGTGGGTTTCCAGTAATTTTTATGGCAAATTCTGTAACCAGTAGTACATATATATACATATATACATATATATTTTTTAAATGGCTAAATAACAAGAGAAAGTCTGATCTGTGTGCCGCCCACATAAGTTTGCAAGGACAATGGATGAAACACGATGTCAATTCGGCGCCAAGGAAGCCATAAAAATATACTTTAACTATTGAGGTTGAAGTGCTATGATTTGTTTTACCAAAATTTTAAATTATCAAATGCGTAATAAAATAAAAAAAATCAATTGTATTGTATTGTTAAGTTTTGGAGCATCATAATTTTATTACTTTTTCTCACCAAACTGCGGTGGCTGTAAAATCGGTGAGCGACAGGAAATGCACACCAAATATAATAAACACAAAAGAATTAAAACTTGTGCTATATGTACATATGTACAAGTGCGGGTGCGTATACGTGTAATTGCAGAGTAACAACTTGTTCACATGATCTAATAAAAACTGTCAAAATACACTCAAAAGGCATGAAATCGATGGGAAAATATTTACTTTCGCCTACACACACACGCATGCAAGAGTGCATTGAAGAAAAAAACATAAATAAGTAAAAGAAAAGCAAAGAAAAAACATGTAAATGGAACAAAAAAGTAAGTATAATCCTTAGCTGACAATTCACAGTTATATTTTCAATAGTAAACGAAAGGCAACAATAAAATATAAGATATAAAAATGCTATAGCTATAGAGCACACACACACACGCGCGCACACAAAACCAAATGTATTGGTTGGCAGGACGCAGTTGTTGGTAAGTAAATGCCAAGCGGCGTTGGTTAAAAGGATCAGCAGCATGACCATGCGAGTCCTGTTGTTGAATTCTACAGCGACGTCGCTGTTGGTGCCATTGATTGTACCTTCATTGTGTGCAGTCTTGCTGACTGCATGTATGCATGTATGTTTGTGTGTTTATGTGTTTATATGTATGACTTGGCATATTGGTTTATTGGTTGCTTGATTGGTATTCATTTAGTTGCATTTGTTGTTGGAGGTGGTGGCGGCAGCATCGGCGGCGGCGGCGGTCCAAATGAAGACATTACAATGAGTGAATTATGGCCTTGTCTAAATGCGTGTAAAAACCGGCATTGCAGATAAGAATCGGAAGATTACATTGTTGTTACAAAGTGCAGGACACAAGGATAATGTGAAAGTGGTTGCAACAATAACCACAACAACAACACAAACAACAACAAACAAATATAATGGATACAGTAATTGCAAGCAGGAAGAAATTGTTCATAAGAATGAATGCAGATAAAGTTGTAGTTGTTGTTATTTTTATTATTGCAGTTATGCTTATTCTTAATTTTTAATCTTCAATGTTGGTTTCATTATATTTGTTCTTGTTATTGTTGTTATTTTTTTTAATGTTGTAGTTGTTGTTATATTATTTATTATTTTTGTAGTTGTTGTTATGATTATGGATGCTGCTGTTGCGCTTGTTGTTATTTCAAAGGTGTTTTGTTTTTGCATCCGCCTCCTTGTTGCAGCTAGCAGCCTCCTTCTTCTTCACTTACCAACTCTTTTGGTGCTCTCTTGCCACTGCTTGCAGTTTCTTGCGTCAGCCGTTTTGGCTGCAATTCTCAGCTCAATTTTGCTCCTTGTGATTGTAGGCATTTAGACATCATTCATTGACATTTTGTTGTTGTTGTTATGCTATTTTATCTCTTTTGCTTATTTTATTTCTCAGTTTTTTTTTTTTTTTGCAGACACTCCTTGTGTTTGGGTTTATTTTGGTATGTGTGGCGGCACGCCATTTACAAGATGAAAGCGCAATTATTTCTATTCTATTTTATGCTATTCTTAACGCTTGGTGGCAATAAAAAGGCAAGAAAGCAGCAGTAGGCGATAGTACGATGAATGCACTTTAAAGATCACGGTCACACACACACACACGTAAATACATGAAGGCATGCCATATGACAGTGTTTGGTACTGAATATTGTTGTTGTTGCTGTTGCTGTTGTTACCTTCAATTGGTAACTTGTTAGCATCGCGATCGCCACTATTGTCGATCAGGGTGGCAGTGTTTGAGGAAAAAAAGAACATTTTCTTACCTTCTTCCTCTGGCCACCAACACTATTGTTGCTGTTGTTTTTTTCTTATATTTTTTTAATATGTGTTCTCTTAATTCCAGTGAAATTTTTCGGCTCGTAAGTGGTTTTTGTGTAGCAGTTTTTCTAATTTTTTTTATTTTATTTTATATTTTGTTTTCTCACTCGTCTTCTTGTATCAAAAAGAAATTATTTCTCTTTTTATTATTATTATTATTACATACATATTGTACATATAGTATAGGATCTGGTCGTCTGTGTAGCCCTGGGAAATGGGAAATGAAATAACTGTGCGTGTGAACCTGTCTCTCATATAGTCCACTCCACTTTAATATGCACGTGTGTGTGCGTTTGTATTTTTGAAAAAGTCTCAAATTTTATTAATTGGCGGACTTTTACTTGGCTGCACAATATCATCATCGTGAGATGTTGCATCCGTCGCTGAAACGTGACAGGAAATTTTAATGTCAACAAGATGCCAATAAATTACGCGTCTACGGTGCATTGGCCGTCTAACTAAATGGTCCTATAAATTGTGAGGAGTATGTTCTTAATATAAAATTGTATATATGCATATCTCAAATAAAAAAATAAAAAAATAGATCCCATATAATATACTCGTAAGAATAAAATAAATAGAATTTGTACTCATGGCGCACGTACGATGCTTTGGGTGTAAGAAAAGGTTGGGAGTTACTGTCATTTTTAATTTCTTTTCAATTACAATTTTTTACTTACATTTATTTGAACTCCATTTGATATATATATAAATATATTTTTTTTGGTGAAAGAGAGAAACCAGGTTTAAGCGCCGTATCCATTGGCGGGAGCAAATGAGATGAAAAGCACCAATCCGTTCGAAAAGTCAACTAAAGACGGACCGGCCTTCACATGTTGTCTCCAATTGCTGAAGAATGACTAAGAGAAGAGGTACAATGAATCGCTGTTGTTGACTCGATTATAAATGTGGATTAGTGAAAAAGAGCAGGTAGTGTACTGTCTATTAAAATAACTGATATAAAGCCAGGTTTAAATCTTAAGTTTAGATCCTAATTATTATATTTAATAGATCAGTATAATTTTTTCATATATGTAACCGAGTGTTTAGCATTACGAACTGTCATTCGGAAGGCCCGGGTTCCATCAGCCGTTGGGAGGCGGCTTAGTATAAACTGTAGTTATTTATTTTTGTTGAAAAAACATTAAGAAGTAAAACCACAAATTGTATGAGGAGCTCAGCCAAAAATCACTTCAGCGGTTACAAAGCGCCAGCTATATATATTTGGTTAAGTAAAAAGTTCGTTTTTTATTGTTATTGATTTTTCAAAATATGATAACTTTGTGTACTTTTGTCCGATTCAAGTAAAATTCACACTGTTTTGTTCGTAAACTTATTGCCAACCAGATGCCAACTTCATTATACCCCTCTTGTAGAAGACTACATCTCTATTGGCAAAAAATTCAAAGGAATCTCTTGAGAGGCCAACTTCTCACCATGGACAGAAACAGGTGGTAATCACTTGGTGCCAGATTCGGGCTATAAGGTGGGTGCAATAGGACCTCCCATCCGAGCTCCTGGAGCTTCTGGCGCGTCTCCAAAGACGTCTGTGGCCTGGCGTTGTCCTGATGGCACATAATTCGGTCTCTGTTGATCAAATATGACCTCTTTTGGATGCGTGGTGCCTTCAACTGGTTTATTTGTTGGCAGAAGAGAGCCGAATTTATCCTTTGGCCATAGGGGAGCAGCTCGTAGTAGATGATTCCTTACCAATCCCACACACACAGCAAAACCTTCCTGGCTGTCAATCCGGTCTTGGCCATCGCCTGGGCCGCTTCCCCGAGCTTTGACTACGACCGCATGCACTCGAAGTGACCCATTTTTCATCGCCAGTCACAATCCGCTTCAGAAACGGGTCGATTTTTTAGCCCTTTATCAGCGATTCGAAGAAGGATATTCAGCCCATCATGTTTTTTTTTTGCGTTAGTTCGTGTGGCACCCAAACATCGAGCTATTTTTTTAATCCAAGATTATGCAAATGGTTCCAAACGCTTTTCTGGCTTATCTTTAGTTCCTTATCAGTTAAATAACTGCTCACTTGTCGGCCTGTTTCCATTATTTCCATGATTTTGTTGCAATTTTCGACGACAGGCCTCCCGACGCGTGGTGCATCTTTGACATCAAAATTACCGGAACGGAACCTAGCAAATCATTTTTGTGCTACACGTTCAGCCGCTTTGGCTGCTTTTTCGCTTTGCTCGAAGAAAGTTGTAAAATATAGTGAATTTTCTGTTTGCTGGTGTCCATCTTTGACGAGCGCTCACAACGTCCTGAGTCAATCAATAGAAAAACTGTCGAAGACAAACTTTTGCGCAAATAAACACGTTTTCAGCGCCGTATAGTATGATACAATGCGACACCTAACACTATGATGGGTTTATATACGGAGCTTTATAAGTCGAGGAATGCTTCTGTAATTTTGGATGTTAAGTTAGGTTCTGGTGGCTACGGATCTATTGCATCGCCTAGCACAGACTATTACACCAAGAGAACGGCTTCTCTATACCGCTAAGTCTCATATTGATGTTTCTAAAAAAAGACGACTTACACTTGTCAGCCTGGAAATACAACGCAGCATCACTCTTTCCAACAGGTTAGCACCTGTGGACTCAGCAGGCAATTGAGAAGTAAACTCCTCTCTCGGCGAACGAGAACCAAACTCTTCAGGCTGCTAATTATACCAGTCCTACCAGCCATATGGCCCTCGGACATCTTCGAGAGAAAAGTTTTGCGAACAATTTATGGTCTTTTGCGCATTGGCAATGGCGAACACGGTAGACGATGGAACGATGAGCTGTACGAGCAATATGATGATATTGACACAGTCCAGCGAATGAAGAGACAGCGGCTACGCTAGCTAGTCCTCGTTCGAATGGATGAAAGCACTCCAGCTTTGGAAGCATTCGATGCAGCAACCGCTGCTGAAAGCAGAAGAAGAGTAAGGCACCCTCTTGGTTAAAAAATCTGATGGAGAGTGACTTGGCGCGCTAATATGGCTTCGACGGTAAACGGTGCCAATGCCATTAAAGAAGATAAAAAATTGACAGTGAGAGCTACATTAAAAGGCCCGCAATTACAGTAAATGTTTCACGAAGATGATAATACTAATCCTAGCGTAGAACGAAAAACTGTGACGTTAGTTTTTCTACCCAAAAACTTGATTAGGAAGCTAAGCGAATGGGTCAGGTAGTAGTAGCAGCGGATTTACGACTGGGTTCACTACTGGAACTGTTTTGATGGTCACAACTTGTCAGCAGCTGCTAGTTTGGAGTGAGTAGAGACTTGACTTTTAATGTCTGCTCCAAATACAACAGTTGACGGTTAATAATGAATTAAATGGTACAACAACATATTGCATAACTGATGTTGACTCAATGGTAGAGCAGTTAAGTCAGAATACGCTGGTTCGGTCACTGCCATAGGAAGTGTGATGAGTAGATGTGGTGATCCCCGAAACAGCTGTCGCTTCCACCATTCTTCTTCGTAGTATAACAAAATATTCACATCAAACTACTTTCTACTTTATGGTGTAGAATTGAAGATAGTGACAAGACTGATGATGGCGCTCTAGGAGTCTAAAAAAAGGATGCGCTTTGGGAAGTGAAAAGATCACTGGCTTCACTACGTCGAACGCCGAAAAGAAGAAAGAACTGGAAACATACAGCAATCAAAATGAGTGACCCACTAATATGACGGGATGCATTAAGATTAGAGATTAGGAATAAGCTCAAGCTCTTGGGATTAATAGTTTATGTACTGTATTCCCTTCGGATATTGGATAAAGATTTATAATCAAATCAAGCAACTGATAAAAACTGATGTTAATTTGAAGCACCTTTTAATTATAAGAAAAGGACAAGTTTCCGAAACGTCCTTTACCCATAAACTAATAAATGTAATTAAGCTCACTTGTGGCTGGCATTGACAACACTTAGTAACACACTAATATGTATTGCCGTTATATAAGTGATTACATTTGTAATTTCGAGTATAACGAAGAATGCAAAAAAGCTTTTTTCCCATGCGCAGACACATTTGTTTGTACTCATACACGAGAATATGTATATATATATATATATGTGCATATGAATGAGTCAGTAGCGCCACAGCATGATGTCTGGCACTTTTACAAAGCATCCAACCATTGTGCCATTGTTTGAGACTCGAGTGTGATCACAATCAACAAATGGCACATAAGAAAATTGTTCAAAAGAATTGGAAAAATGTATAAATGCGATGGAGAAAAAAAAGAAGAAAAACAAGAAGAAGCATTGCGAAAACGCATCACATTATAAACGTAACCACCGAGTCAAAGCTGCAGAATTTCGCAGCAATATTTTTTTTCTGCGCTTTTTTATTGGTTCAACTTTAGTGCATCTTCTTCTTCTCCTACTCCTTCACTGACAATGCAAACAATGCATAAATAAATATTACACATACATAATCAGTTACAAATAAGAGTTAAAAGTATTGAGTAGAACAACAACAAAGTGCCTTAATGTGCGCAATAAATGCAAGTTTGAGCACAATAAACAAACAATTACGGCTGTATGTCGCATCGCGGCCATTTGTATAGGCCCGCTGTGCCGCCATTGTGCGCTCGCATACAACAACCCTCAACCGAAAAGCACACAAGTGAAACAAAAAAAAAATGAGAAGAAATCAACCACCGCAGACACCAACGAAATATGAACAACAATGGCGTATGGAGTTAACTAAAAGCAAAAAAAAAGAAGAAGAAGAGCTACCACAAAACTTTGCAACGCATTTTGCCACAAAAGATCGCCAATCGGTTGAAGTATGTGCGCCGCAGGGTGCCAAAGCAAGCGACATCGTGCAACATCGCTATCAACTGTGACCAAACAGCCAAGTGACGCTTGCTCATACATACATATGTGCATACATACATATATTATATATAAGTGATTGTGTTGCCGATGCATAAAGTGATATTGTGCAACATTCATATTCAAGGCTTAAAACCTGCGCCTTGGCAAGTGGTTTGACACATTTGTACGAGTACATACAGATATGATGACGTTGAGGGAGTTGAGCCGTGTAAACATTTTGCACATACCTTTTTAAAAGGTGTCGCTATGCAAATTTTCTGCCACGCCACTGTTGCATCTTGCACTGTTTGCACTTATTGAACTAACCACCAAATAAATACTTATGGGCATACTTAAGCAAATAAATGCATGGAAGTGCGAAAAAATATGGACTGGCGCTGAGTTAAGCTGCGCACACACAGGGGGTAAAATCGCCAATTGTTGTTGCAGGTCCGCCTACTGTAGTTCCATGTACAATAGGTGGCTGTGGAGAATATGAAGTATTATTGATGTCCTTAAAATCGAAAACAAAATTTGGGCTTCAAGCCACTAATAGTTGGTGTTAAAGATATTAAGTGAGTTTAAGTTCTAAGGCAGACCCAGCGATATGTAGAAGAAGAAGCTCATGAAACTGTGTAAAGTGTTTGAGGAGCCAACAAACAAGCTTTTAAAGGAGAATTCAGTTCAAAGTGGACGGAGTGTCAAAAAAATGAGCTGCACTAAATACGATGCAAGGAGGAGGTGTGAAAATAAAATAAAATATTTAGTGCCACAATACAAATTAAGTTCGTAGCTCCGGTGTTACAGAATGGAGCCAAAGCTGCTTTCTATGAGATGGTGGCCAAAGTAAGTATCTCCAGCACATTGGGTGATATACTTCGACAGTGTCAGAAATATGGTTGCCATTGGTATAAGATTGCGACGCAAAAAATATCTACGAAAATATCGCTACCTCACAAATGAGAGGCATCTCTATGGAAACGCGTACATTCCCGAGGCCTAACATGAACTCGGTTCACCAACTGGTCGTAGCAAAGAAACTGTGATCGAGCACAACTCCTGGCTTTTGGTACGTATAAAAAAATCGAAAGTGAAAAGAATTGGGAATTTGGCCGATAGAGTTCACGCTCGAAGTGAGAATGAGAAATATAACATTCAATTTCAATTTACTTATCCGTACAGTAAGACAGGGAGTCTTTTTATTGTACACATATTAACATAGAATAAATTACAATTTGATGATTTTAATCTTAAGAATAGCTAAGCATAATATTATATTTAAAAACAGGGGTATTTTGACATAGGTAAGGAGAATCCAATCGTTTTGATAGATTCTATTGAAATTGCCAATGAGTTTTAAATTCTAAGAGCACCAACAAAAACAATCTGGAAGCCGTCGAAGTTTTGTATTTGGGTGTATGGGAAATCAAACTTTATTTTGTGGAAGAGATATCCTGTTTGGCGGTTTTTGACGACTTTAAATAAATATATTAAATTGCGAGCCTTGAGATAATTCTCAAGAGTGAAGCCTAAAGTGTTTTGTGTGTGCACAAATTATTTTGGCGGTAAATGAACCTAGCCGCGCTATTTGAAACTAAAGTTTGTTTGTGTCTGGACTCCAAAATAAGAAATTTCCTGAGAAATAAGGGACTGAACTAGTTTAAGTTTTGTCCTAATCGGTATACAATCGCACCTATGCCACAAATTTTGTAATGTCGAATATATTTTTATTATGCAGTGTGCATAACCATTTAGACGGGCATTAATTTTGAAATCAAGATTTTGTACAACATATTCAAATTTTAGATCAACACCGTTCAAAACAATTGGTGACTGGTTACTGAGATCAAGATAATTACTTTTAATAGGAAGTGCCTACGTTTTCTTTAAATTCAGACAGAGACCATTTATGTTGGACTTTTCCTCAATTCCTGTTAGATCCTCAATTTAGCTATTAAATCTTCACCAAGACCAATGGGATGTGAGATGTAAATTTGAGTATCATCGGCATATAGATGTATAGAAGAATTTTTGCAGTAATGGTCTTAAAATACAGCCCTGGGGTAGTACAGAGTTGATTTCTCTGCATTTTGAAATAACATCCCTATACTGAGCTTGTTGATATCTGTCCTCCGAAAAGTAGCTTCTCATAAGCTTAATTGCTGAAGTGTTGAAACCCAAATAACTTTCCAGTTTTAACTGTCGATTATTATGCGTACAGTGTCGAAAGCTTTAGATAAATCCAAAAAGCAGGACAGATGTCTTTCATGATTTTCATCACAGCTGTGGAACAAGAATGATTGCATCTATACCCAGACTGGAATTCGTTCAATAAATCATGTAGACGCAGGTGTGACATTGTTTGAGCTATAATACATTTTTCAAACACTTTTGACTATTTTGGTAAGTAACTGATGGACCTGAAGTCTTGGTGAGCATTACACATTCTCATATAATATAATATATAAAAATCTAATATCCGAACCTAATCTAATTACGAACCGATTAACTAGAAATTTTTACAGATTGTTTCTATGGTCCCTAGGAAAATTTATACAAAAAAATGTTTATGGTAAGTAGACCGGGGTCTGACCTTTTTCAAAAATCTTATTTCCATTTACTCGTAACTCGGTACATTAAAGGGTTTTTCCTTATATTAACAGGAAAACTACTCCGATTTGTGGTTTTACGTCTTGATGTTTTTCAAAACAAATAGAAGAGCCTACAGTTTATAATAAGCCCCCTACGAACGGTTGGTGGTTTTTTTACGAGGAGCCTTTATTTCGTGTCCCAAATACATTTGGAGGGGCTGACATTTTCAGACGAGGGGCGACCGCAATTAGAAAACATAACTTATTTTTTTATTTAAATTAATTTTCTATAACTTTTGGATGATGGTCGCACGGGGATTTGAACCCGAACCTTCCGAATGTCAGTGGGAAATCCTAACCTCTCGGCTACTTCGGCCGCCAATTAGAAAACTTAACTTTCTATAATTTAGGCTGTTGATCGGACTAGGCCTCGAACCAAAGTAATTGCGGCTGTAAAAAAGGAAAAACTCAGAATTAACTTCAAAAATATCTAGTAACGAATAATTTATTGGTTAAGTCGCTACTCACGAAAAACATGATGTCGACGCATATTTTTAATGAAGAAGGTGAGCTTGTTTTTCAAGATAGCTGGTAAATCATAATTGGATGGCTTCCTTATCCGACCAACCATTACAGAGCCCAGAAGTTGGTATCAAAGTTATTTCCTAAGATTTATGTTGCGTTAACATAACTCCTACGATGATCCCACATCTTCACCCCAATCGGCTACAGAAATCAATTCTTAGGTTAGGTTTAGTAATAGTTCTAAAGCCGGCTAAGGCAGCCACCGAGAATAAAACACAGGTGAAGATCGCGACCACTCAATCTTTTACATTTTCCAAACTTATCAGCTATTTAGATTCTTGCAACAGGCTACACGGATTCTTTCCCCCATGAACTTCCTCTATTTATATAATTTCCTTAAATATTAACGAGCTCCAGCCCTATCAGACCGTCTTTTCTGAAAAAAAAATTATAGAATTATTGTGCTAAGCTTCAAGCTTCCGTATCACTGCTAAATTTTCAGATCACCAAGCTCATTTGCAGTTCCAGCAATGAAAGCACGCATTTTTCTTTTACGCGGTCTTGAAAGAACTCCAGGACAGCTGTAGTTTTAAAGAAAGGCTAACAGCTCTTGGCATCACAAGCAAGCTGGATGGGCACTAGCAGTAGTGATGTTTCTGACCGGCATTATTTAGAACACTCCTTAGACATTTAGGACTTTCGCAGTCAAATGAACTGGATATCAAAGGCCTTTTAAAATTCGAAAGCGTTGCTGTCCGGGTACAATTAGGTACCGACAGGTCTATGCAAGGTATAACACCCAGTCAGTATAACCTAAACTCTCGAAGGTTAGTGGATGTCCGACTTGAAATGGTTTGCTCAAATCCATCCCCTAGAGATATACCAAATCCATGGAAGTCTAAGTGTTTATTTAAATTAAAATTAATTGACATATTTATTTATATTATTATTTCGGTCATTCATAATATCTATAGGAATGCGCTTCTTCATGATAAATACACCCCAACATTGCTCCAGCAACCGAAATTATTGAATCCACTCAACGTTAAATGATCATCCGCCATGCGGTCGTTCACAACGACTAATGAGTGCTGATGGCATGCTGCGTGTCTGCTGTGTGGCAACACGTTTCCGTTTCTACTTAATTTAGCCAGCCGCGACACTCCCACAAGTGAGCTGAGTCCAAGTTGAACGAATAAAGGAGAACTCTATTCAATTGAGCAGCTTTTGCGCCGCACGAGTCCTTAACGAGCCAAGCCGCGTAAGGCAACCAAGTTCACACACAGTTAGCGAGACATCAATCGACCGGATGTCTGTCGCATACCATAAAGTCCACTTTTGAAACGCGCGCGCCTTCGTCACTTGTACGTATGTACACATGTCTAGATATTAAAATGTATTTTTATTTTTTCTTACAGAGAAGAATCTGCTACCCCTGCTGCAAACAAAGAAAGTAAGAAGTCCAAAGATCACCTCGTCGCTGCACACCGCTCAATAAACGCCGTATACCATGGCTGTTTAGCACAACTAAGCCATGCTCATTCAGTTTCAGCGCGGCTTGAAAGGAACTGATGAATGATCTTATGTCGTTTTATGTGGCCATCGAGGCACTTTTATTGCTCTTGCGGCTGCTGCTGCTGCTGTGACTGTGATTGCTGTTGTTGCAGTCACAATGGTGTGGGGATCGACGCTTTGTGGCTACAAACGTCGCGTAAGGGCTATATTTGTACGACGCGTTCGTACGTGTATGTACGATATGTACGTGTGTGTTCAATCTGCTAAATGAGATCAAATAAGATAGCGCCATTATATGTATATGTATAAGTATATATGTTTGTTTGTATGTAAATATGTATAAGCAAATGAGTGTTGGTAGTTATGCGGTGGCCCTTAGTGGCGGGCATGCCGTTGCGGCTGACAATGAGCGACGGTGATGATGGCGAGCGCCTCGTTTCACGGGTTCCCGCTGTTTGTATTGAATGTACTCCTTAGCCCTCTTGTTATACTCCCATTGTACACGTAACTATGTGTAGTATTTATTGCTGCTGCTGCTGCTGCTGCTGTTGCTATTACTGCTGCCATTATTATTATTATTGTTGTCGTTGTTGCTGTTATAGCTGCTGGCAATTGCTTACTTATTTGGTTAGCTCGTTTGTTCGGTGGCTCCTTTGCTTATTTTCGGTGGCTCTTGGCTATAATTCAAGCTTGTTGATGACTCCGTTGCACGGCAGTGGCTTTGCTCTTGAGTTCTTCCTTACAGGCGGTGGCAGGCATTTAATTCTTAGTGCTATAAAGTTTGTTTTGTTTCTTTTTGTAGTACATTCGGTAACGTGCTGGTGTTGAAAAAAAAAGTTTTTGAAATGATCTGCTAAACATTTGCTCATCGGTTTAGTGTTGGTTTTTGGAATGTTGGTGTGAAGAGTTTCCCGTCTGAAATTTGCTCGGAAGAAGAATTCGTATACAGTTTAATTAGTTCAGATGCATACCGAGGATTCTCTAGGTAGGCGAAAAATATTTACTGAAGTTATGCATAGCTGATAGAATGTAAAAGTTTCGGTATCAGACACCTGGACGATATGGAAGAGAATATTTGAAGCCTAAGTTTTCTTCGCTAAGTACAAGATGACTCTAAAGAACGTTACCCAAGAGATTAAATGTTTGAGACTGACAGAAAAACAAAAATATTGTGGATTTTCGGCAATATAGTCATACTTCGGGTAATACTAATACATACCCCTTAGTATCTTAAGCAAAAAGAAAAACGTTGAAATTCTCTCAAACTAGACGAGATAATCATCCGATCAACAGCTAAGAGCATCCATCTACTTTCAAATCTGACCAAAATTGGTCTGAAAATGAACGAGAGCAAGGCGATCTGCACTCTCAACCAAAACCGATGGGATAGCAGCTCCGTCTCTCGACATTCATGAAGTGAAACTATGGACAGCTATTTGAAAAATAATAAAGCATCTGAGGCATTTGGCTTTTCTGATAAGTCATTCAAGTATGGTGACAAAGGCCTACTAAGAAACATACATCAGATTTTTTGCAGAATATGAACGGACAAAAATGTGTCCAACAACTAAAACTTGTGTCCAATTCATATAATGGGAATCGCACAATTATGAGATATGCCTTCTCAGCAGTTCTTCTCTGCCGAATTATATGAGTTTCAATTTTCAATTTTCTATGATTTATGTGTTTATAGCACCTCCGGTATCAAATAAGAGTTTTTATTTGGTGATTTTCCTGTTCTTGAACATGAAAAAGTTCCCTAGGTCACTCATAAAACGTACTGGTTCTCATAAGGCAATAGTATTTCTTGGTAATAAATTTCAATTTTTCTGAAGTAGAAATTTGTGCAGACTTTATTCTAATTGGTACAGCAGAAGGTCGGTGATTTGATTTTTAGAAAGTATTATATATGTTTCTTGAAAATCGAATATGACTCCTGGTTCCTGATTAATTTCCGGGAATTAAAAGTATTCGATTTAAACAGGCAACAATAAATTTTCTCAATTGGAATAGATAACCTCCAGGAGTGAAAAAAATAAGTAAAACTAAGACGAATGGGTTGGTCCATGGTCCACTTTGAAGAACGGTAGTGTTCTGGCTAACCTTAGTTTCCCATGTACCAAATTTTAATTTAAGGGTTTTCTTACGGTACTTTTTCAATTATGCAGGCACGCAGAGAGGCTGATAGTGCCATCGCATAACTTCTGCAGAAGCTGTATAGCGGAGGAAGAAATTGAAAGCATCCTTAAGACATTTTTCTTTGTGAATATCCTACATTTTGGAAGAATCACCCTATGGGTTGCCAACTCCACATATTGGTTTGATAAGCAAAAGCGGGCTCTAGACCAACCCTATAATATTAGAAAGTATCTACAATGCACAGATAGTTCTATGTGCGCTCATGACAAATAATCCCTTTAACTTAAGCAAACCTAAGCATGATAATTCTATTGAATTTTCTTCCTTCTCCTCCAATCGCTTTCGCTTCAAATGCAAATTTTGTATTCTCTAATCCTTAAGCTTTGTTTTTAAGTCTTACTTTCAATTATTTGTTGCGGCAAAACATTCTGTCGACATTGTCATTCGTAAATTTATTGTTTGAGGTATTTAAGAATTGGCGAAAATTCCAAAAGAAATCTTAAAAAAAACTGAAGAAAAAAAATAAAATACAATGGAATGAGCAATGCGCATTGCGCGATGATGCGCCACTATAACAAATCGATTGAGCTGATCCAATGTGAACAATTGTCTGTCGAAATCCATACCAACACAAAACACAGAAAGGCAGCCCAATATTGGGCAGAATCAAAAATTTATTTAGTTATAGAACCTTAAATAGTTTATCTCATGTCTAAGTTGAGCGTAGTGGGACACTTTTCTAATCCTTCAAGTGAACGGATTCTTCTGGAGTTGTATATAAACTTTTTGAAGCTTCACATCTTTTTGAATTTTTTCCACACAGGGCTGCGCTGCAATTCACTGCTACTGCTTTTTTGGTTTTCAATAAATATCTGGACTTAGAAATATTGCTTTGAAGAGAACAAATTCAATATACCCTGTTTATAGGACTGCCGTAGGTACAAAAGTATTGGTATTTACATACCTATGTATATGTGTATATGCAGAAAGGACAATTCGCAACTCAGCTCTTTTGCCTGCGTCAGAGCGAGGAGATTTCAAAAATCTTTTACATACCATATTTTTTGGCTTCTTTTCATTGATTTTTATTATTTTATTTTACTTTATTTGTAATCCCTTTTTTATGTTTTGAATGATGAACAGTGGCGGCTCCTCGATCATTGGCGGCGCGTAAAAGAGCCGAAAAAATGTTGAATTAAATTCATGACACAAGCGAACATAGCGTTTATACCTATATATGTACATAAAGCGAAGGAAAAGAATATGCAAAAATAAAAATTTAAAATAAATTTTGAAAAGAAAAAAAAAACTGTATAGAAATCCCAGCATTGAAACCTCCAAAAACATGAATGAATCTGTCGAATATCTTGTAGGCATTGTGTACGTAATCGAATTGGTAGCACACATACGCCTATACATAAGGATAGGTAAACAGCTAACAGACAACAGCGACGCCAACGATGGCGGTGTGATCCTGTCGCGCGTTACCTCCTTCAAGTGTCCGTGCACATTCCGACTTGTCTTGTTTGCAGTTGTTGAATTAGTTGTTGTGGTTAGTAAAACATGGTGTAAATTCGCACATAAGCACATACAAGCAAACATACAAATAATAACACCTACGTGTAGGCAGGTACATTTATGTGTAGCTGTGTCGAGTGAACTGCCGCATTGAATTGTTGTTTGCTGAAGCTACAAATTTTTTTTTTAATTTTTTCCAGACCACCTTAAGTCGCCTTAGTCACGGCTGGTCGCTATATGATTTTGTGCTCCAATTTTATTTTTATGAAAGCGTAGAATTTTAGCTCTCTTGGTGTGAGTTTAACCCTTCTGCATTGTTTGTTGTTATATTTTATAAGGTCTCAGAGCTATTGATGTTGATTTACTTATTTGTTGTGTTGCTGTTTTTTTTTATTTGTTTGGGCAACGCACGGCGCAATGTTTGCTACCCCGAGTCGGTCGCGTACCAAAATTATCTGCTTATCTTGTCTCGGCTCACTTTTTGATCGAAATGCAATTGGTGCTGCTTTTTGGTAACTTTTTTCTCTACAGTTTTTTCCTTATAGTTCTGTCTTAACTCCTTCGCTGTTGCTTATTCATAAAATTGTTTTTGTATTTCGTTGTTGTTGGTGTTATCGGCACTTTTATTTCGTAGTTATTTAAATTTATACGCTTTACGTGACACTTGTTAGCAGCTGAGTGGCACCAACAACGTTTTAAAAATTAAAATAAATGTATAAAAAAATTAAGAAAAAAAATCAACAGCCAGCTTCACGGATGCGCTGGCTCAACTTGTTTTTTTTTTTTTTTTTTTTGCGATCGTCGTGGCATTCACTTTGTGCTCTTCGAATGCACAAAAATGCAAATAAACGCACGCACACTAATACTCGCCCATGCCATTTTTTGGCATGTAAATTATGCTCTCTGGCACTTTGACGATTTTATGCAAATTTTGTTGATATTTTTGTGACATTTATGTGCGCGCTATGACTGTCTTTCCTTCCCTCCTCTTACTTTGTCCTACCTCCTATGAAGAGTTCATATTCGTTGGGATTTATATGAACGATATTTATATGAAAAGAGCTCCACAAATAATCTCAAATTGCGATATCTCTGACTCTGATGTCCTCCGACTGAATTTGTAGGGGTTTGACAGCAGCCAAGAAATAGGAACTACCAACTACTACTATAATAGTCCAACTTCTTCTTTATTGGCGTGCACAACACCACCGAAAATCAGCCACGCCATTTCTTTTCTACTCATCGCGGTTTGGCGCCAGTTGAAAACATCTTGTGAAACCAGGTCACTCTCCATCTGATCTTTCCAACGGAGTGGGGGTGTTCCTATTTCTCTGCTTAAACTGGCGAGCACTGCATCGAATACTTTCAAAGCTGTAGTATTCGCATCCTCCCCGACCATATGACCCAGCCAGCGTAGCTGCTGCTTCTTGATTCCTTGAACAATGTCAATGTCATGATTATATCTCGTACAGCTCATCGGTCCATCGTCTCTCGAACTCTCCCAAAGCCGACTCATCAGCTGTTGACATCGTCCACTGTAGGACGGGTATAATGAACGACTTGTAGAGTTTGGTTTTCCTTCGTCTTGTCCTCAATTACTACCGAACCCATTCGCTTCGCGTCTTCATC